TTATAAACCTTAATCTCTAACTTCCGCTAACTGTCGTACGCTCGTTCACAAAAGAGTGGCGTCCAGCGGATGACGTAGCACGTAGGCGTAGAATAAGCTCCGTTGAGAATATGCTAGTCTCGTGAGAAACAAGTTTTGTTTACAGCAAACGAAAACCAGTGTCCTCTTGGCTTATATCGAAATCCTCCGACATTTTTCTTTACAAATCCTCGTTTTGTACTACTAATTCGTGACCGGTGTTTTGTTTTGCTCTCTCCTCTGCGCTTCCACGTTCATCACTTCCGTGTTCGTCGCTGCGTTTGCCTACGTGCTACGTCATTCGCTGGACACCACTCTCTCGTAAATATGGATATTTTTCTTACACAAACACATCGCGTCGCTTCAGAAGGTCTTTATTAACCCCCGGAGCCTTGTGGACTTCTTTTATAATAGATGGGTGCAATTTTTTGGACTTCAAATTTTGGGCTACCATCCACTCCCATTATAAAGCATGGATTAGCCTGGACATTATTTAATATAACTCTGATTGTATTCGTCTGAAAGAAGAATGTCATATACACTTAGGATGGCTTGAGGGTGAGTAAATCATGGGGTAAGTTTCATTTTTGGGTGAACTATCCCTTTAACTGTTTTAAATATATAGCATGAAATCTATAATAATGGTGTTTTTGAAGGGACCCAAAAATGAAAACTGACATAATTTACTCACTCTCATGTTGTTCCAAACCCAAACTTTGTTCACGATCACGTTATATAAGCCTTTGGTTACAATACGATCTCTCTATCTGATAACAGGTTTCATTTAGGCCTTTATTCACATATAAACACGCATACATAGAGCAAATCACATATGGTAAACACATGATGTACATACTCTTCTGTGCTAACCATATGTGTATGCATGTGTGTCGATCATTGTTTAGATGTAAATAAAAGCTTAAGGTCAGTCTGTTCATCATATAAAGTGATCGTACAAAGACTTGGATTAAACTGCATGATTCATATGGATTCATTTTGCGATGCCTTTACAACTTTATTGGATATTGTAAGTTTTGGTTACCTGTAACGAAACCTCCAAGGTTTCATTCAAAATGTTAGGAATACTTTGAATATTAACTAAAGTCGAATGGGTTTGGGATGACATAAGTGTGAGTAGTAAATGATAACATACTGTAATTTTCATTTTTGGGTGAACTATCCCTTATAATCCCAATTATCACTGTTTATATAGCAAAACGAGAACGCAGCTCCCTCGACAGACAGTACTACGACCTTATTCCACAACAGGGACCATCAAAATGACATGGTACCCTTCATTTCCTGGCCCCTATGACCTCTGACCTGGCCCGATCTGTCTGCCGTTGTCCTCTGCCCTCCCTTTATGCTTTGGGTGCAGGTGGCATTTGGCATTCTTGATCCGGAAGGACACCGTCTGCTTCACTGGAGGAGCCTGAGTCTCTACAAGCAAACAAAGAGGCCTTGACATGCAGCTCAACATGATTCATATAAAGCCCTTGCTGACAACTACTAGCTAACTACATTAATTCACAGCTGCTGGCTGGCTCGCTACATTTAATGTGCTTGATTGAAAAATAAAACCAGCTGGGCTGTTTGTGAACATTTAAAGCAGATTCATGTTAGCTTTATGCTCACTCTGAACACTTATGAGGAACAGCAATTTGAGATTATAGTTTGTCGTGACAGGCATCCCAATGTGAAACGAGTCTGACATCAAAACAAACATTAGGCATGGTAAATAAGTTTCTAATTTGCCAAGCACATCAAGTGATCATGTAATTGTACAGCTGCAATGTATCTGTCATTATGTTTCTCGGAATCATCGACTGCAGCTGTACAAAAGAAACGTCTCATCGGTTTCCAGGTTCTGTTTGCTGGCACTTTCAAAAAATAGGACCTACAATTTAGAAAATCAAGTCTTATTTTCTTTTTCAACCAATGATCAGTGAAATTTAGGGGCTTAGCATTAAGAAACTGTTTATCGTTAACCACGTTAACCAAATTAAATGATATATGATCCTTTTTATTTTCTATTAGTTTATATGTGGCATCTGTGATGACAAAACTTTGATAAATTATAAGTATTAAATAAACATTAAAAAACACTATGCCAAAATGGGTAACAGGGTTGCAAGTTGAGTCTAAATTAAGCCGACAATCAGCAGGAGCTAGCTAGTTTAGGGCCAAATGTTGGCTTATAGTTATTAATACATTACGCTTAATGGTTTCTGTAACATATCTCACAACTAAAAATGGGATTACTTTAATGCGATTACCTGTATGGGTACCTACGTATAATGGTAAAATTATAAATACAATTAGACATCAAATTGTACCCTATTTGTGGAAAGTGCACACCATTAGTTGCCACGATTCAATTGCCTATGAGATAAGGAAGGTGTTGGGACGTATGTATGATCTTACCTATGCAGCTTTGGATGCTGCTTGCGTTTAATCTGCTCTGAGATTTACCTCGTAGGATGGGTATTCCACAGCTAACAGAATAGCTGTTGTCTGATTCTGTGAAACGTAAAATGAAAATTGATCACAGCTGAATGGACAAGTTTGTTAAATTAAGTATTGTAGGAGGTATTTGGTTTCTACCTGATAGGTAATGTGCTTTAGATGCACAAGTGAGAGAGCAGCTCTCTTTCTTCCCCATTTTACTGCAAGTAAGGGTGGCTTTGGGGGCCACCAGACTGGACGTACACTTCACAATCTCTGTGCAGAAATAATAAGTTTGACTCCAAGCAAGTACACTGAATTTGTTTTGTGTTAATATGCATCAAAAGTGTGTAGATCACATTGGATCTCAAAGACAATCAACTAATACATATCTTTCATTTATAAAATACAGAACTAATAGCAGTCTTTGGCATTTGCATTTGAACCATAAGATTTTAGTTGCATCTGAATGGTCTCTAGGTGGCACTCTTGTCCACATACCAATGCAATCCTTCTTGTTCCAGTGCAGTTTGTAACCAGGAGGGCAGGTACACTCGTAACTGCCCGGAGTGTTCACACATCCGAATTTGCAGCCACCCCGATTAATGCTGCACTCATCAATATCTATAAAACAAAACAGACAATTACAAATAATTTATCTTTGTTATAAAAGGCAATATAGAAACAATGCAGGCATTCAACTAATGAAAATGTACTGTATGCAAAGAATACTTGGATAACCTATAAACACAGCAACCCACACTTTATCCAACAATGCAATTCACTCGACTCAACCTTCCATTTCTGTTGTGACAAGTGAATCTAACATGAATGTAATTACACAGGTTAACATCAGTACTTTTAACTAGTTACTCTCCAACACTGGAACAAAACAAAAAAAACAAAGCCAAACAATAGACAAAACAGATATAGTTTGAGTGGATTCGAAACAGAGACAGAGAAAAAGTGTGTTTCAACAAATTCATTTTCTAAAAAGTGGGAGAGCAGGAATTTTTTTATGTTTCTTTAAGGAATACAGAGCTCGCTTGCTAGGCAAGTGTGGTTTTCCTTCTCTTTGTCATTCTTTTGTTCCCCATCAGATTGGAACCGGCTCCAGGCTAAATCACATTTCCTTTCCCTGTCTGGATCCCGAGCCTTCATTAATCTAAAGAGCGAGGAAGGGGACGGGGGAAGAGAAAACCAATGTTAGATTGGCATTTCTGTTAACCTCTTGTAGCTACAGTCTCGGTCAAAGTCCCTTTTATGTCAAGTCAGTCCACTTGATGACACCCTCAGACAGCTGTTTTCAAGTCGTGCAAGTCTAGCTCCAATCTACTTGAATGGAGAAAGACCAAAACCAAAGAGTTTACATGTTCTTTGACTGTAAACTCTGCAATAATCAATTCTGACCCAAGGCCTATTGCAGCTTTAAGACCCTGATATACTTCAAGCGAAATTGAAGAATGAACGGGTGTGGCATCATTTCAAACAAAATCAAGCCAAAAAAAAAAAAAGTTTGTTTCAGGAGTTCAAAGCAGTTCGTCGGATGGTAAACACCATCAAACTACTATTGGTCCATGCCGATGATGTTGTGCCCTGGAAATCTTCTCCGGTTCATTTCTTCTGTTTAGTCTGTCGAGGTCAGCCGCAAGTAAACACACTGGAGAGCTGCTTTATAGTAGAAGTTGGAACAGTATACCGATGCAAAGGTATTTCAAACTTCTTTTTATCCCTAAGCAAAGAACGAAAAAGAACATTGCTCTGAGTATATTTCTATTTCCTGGCAGATAAGCCATCAATGGGAAACTGATGACCATTCTTTGGAAACAAAAGAGAGAACTCCATAAATCTGGGTGTTATCTAAGTGCTAACGGACAAAGATACATTCATTATTTCTGGTCCTCTCAACAATAGTAAGACACATACATCACTAAATGACTCCTCATCTGCTCAATCAGCCCTGAAACAAGGTTCACTGATGCAGCTTATTTTGGCCGAGAGCCACCCACTTAGACAGGAAGAAACCATCTGACATGATAACCATGTTAAGAAATCCAACCAATTTAGTACTGGGTTTATCTGAAACTGATTATAATATTACAAGACTTTCATAAGACCTTCTTCCTGAACATCCAAATGTAATAAGTACCCATTATTTCACATATATACCTGAAACATCGAGGCTACTTGCTTTTTAACTAGTTAAGTGCTTAACGTAAGAGCGTATGGCAATTAATGTGCAAGGCTTCCACCGTCATTCACTTCTAGTAATTTTATATTGCAAACTATTATCAAACACACCGGTTTGTAGCGCAAACAGTTTTACCGTTTACTGTGCTTCTATAGCGGCTAATGAATCGGAAGTCTAAAGAAAATAGCTTGGTTGCAAAATAACGTGGATACAAACCTCAGAATAACCTTTACAGATTTGTTTAGGGTCCCGATTGCTGCCAGAGGAAAGCTTCCTCTAATTCCCATGAGACTCAACACTGCCTGGATTTAGTGTAAAAAGCCAGATCTCATTTATTTTCCAAAGGCAACTGAAGGCAAAAGAACACAACCAGCAGACTGCAAAAAATTATGTTCTTCCTCAGTATTTTTGTCTTGTTTTCCAGTACAAATATCTAAACATTCTTAACCCTCTGGTGCTATTTGGTCATTTTTGGCTAAAAAATTGTTAGTTTCTTTTTTTTTTTATTCATCGGAATGGTACAAAACTTGGTAAAGGTTTTGGCACTTGCTATGTAAACACACACACACACAAAATAAAATAAATCATGGACTTGATTCAAAAAGGTTAAATGGTCCTGAAAAAACAATAGTCACACTTGTGCTGTTCACGGTCAAAAATTACTGCATTGGAAATACACCAATGAGTCACTACATTATGACTACCCCAAGCCTAGAGCAATGAGCGCGCATCGCAACTGAATGGTGCCGCAGTAGCAGCTCACTGAGCGGTATATATACCACCCGAGGACTGGATTTCAGTCAGTAGAGTGTTCGGTGTGAGAATGGGAAAAGCTGCTGATTTATCAGCGTTTGATAAAGGATACACTGTGATGGCATGGCGTCTTGAAACTTTGATGTAGGAAATGGCACACCTTGTGGGTTGTTCACATGCTGCTATAGTGAGTATGTTTCAAAAGTGGTGCACGGATGGACAAACGACGAACCGTCATCCAGGGGAGCGGAGACTGTCACGCATTATTCACAGTGCAACAAATCACCATCAGCTACAACAGTGGTGACCAGGACAATGTGTCACAGCAAACAGTTCATCGTGTCTTTTGTGTATGGGCCTGCATAGCCAACCACCCAGCCGGGTCCCCATGCTAACTGCATGTCATCGCCAACAACGCATGAAATGGGCCCAAGATCATCGAGATTGGACCGTGGATCATTGGAAGAAAGTGGTCTGGTCTGAAGAATCAAGATTCCTGGTGCATCATGTCGACGGCCTAACGCAGATATGCCAATTATCAACAGAGGCTGTGGCACCTGGATGCACTGTGGGGTGGACGCAGGCTGGCAGCGGCGGTATGATGTGGGCAATGTTTTCTTGGGACATTTTAGGCCCCATTATCCCAATAGCACAATCCCTGACAGCTGTCAGGTATCTGAACAACGTTGCGGACCAAGTGCACCCATTCATGGCAACTGTGTTCCTTGTCGGTGATGGCCATTACCAACAGAATAATGCGCCTTGCCACACTGTCAGAATCATCAAGGAGTGGTTTGAGGAACATGATGGTGAATTTCTCTTAATGCCTTGGCCTCTAAATTCACCTGACATGAACCCAAACGAGAAGTGGTTTTGCGCTACATCACCACCACCCTGCATTGTACGGGAACTGGAGGACCTGCTGTTGTCATTATGGTACGAAGCTACCCCAGGGGACCTATCGGCACCTTGTCGAATCAATGCCTCGCCGCATGGCTGCTGGGCTAAAGTAAGTCCTACAGGTTATTAGATAGGTGGTCATAATTGAATGGCTCATCAGTGTAAATAGGAAGTGAATTTCATCTAGTGGAAACGTCTGGTACTGCACCCAAAACAAAACCTTAAAATTTGACATATCAACCTCAAATTGGCAAAACTTGTTTAGATTTATGGCTTTGATTTTAGAGTAAAATATGTTTCATATCAAATTTTAAAATAATGTTTGTGCATTTTGTAATAATAAAAATTAAAATTTTTTCACTTTTTTTCACTTATAATGTGCCAAGTGTCGTCTTTAAAGGAGACCAAACTTAAGTCTGTGCTCCAAAGCATTTAAAGGGGTCATATGATGCAATTTCATGTTTTCCTTTGTCTTTGGAGTGTTAAAAGCTGTTCGTGCATACAGAAGATCCGTAAAGTCGCAAAGATTAAAGTCTCAAACCCAAAGAGATATTCTTTAT